GCGTCGGCTGCCGGGTTCCCCGCTGGCTGTGCCCCCACTTACGGAGCTGACTCCTCCCCTCCTCGTGCTGCTCCCAGCTGCTCCGCCGCACTGCTCACAGCCGTCTCCGCCTCCTTCCTGTGCTGTCCCGCACTCTGCGGGCGGCAGCTGATCCCCCGCTCGCTGGGGCTCTGTGCTCCAGCTCTCTCCTCTCAGCCGCCCCGTTGCCTCGGCGGGGCCGCCTTTTGTTTCTCCCGGCAGGGGTGCCCCGCCACTCAGCCGCAGCCGGATAAATGCCCGGCTGACGACCCGCGCCGACACAGCCGGCGCGTGGACTCCCTTCGGCTCCTCCAGCCCTGCAGGAGGTAAGCGGCCCCCTTTGCCATCGCGGGGGTCTCCCGGCGCCCCCGCTCCCCTGGGACAGGGGGACTACGCTCAATGGGCACTACTATATGTTTTATTCACGTAGACTCCACTAATTTACCCTGGGGTAGGTTCCCATCAGCATGTTTGCTCAATACGGTCCACATGTTCTGTAGTCATGCTCAGTGTTGGATGCATTTAATTAACTTCACATTTGGTTTCTATGGCAGAGGACATACTGCTTTTACCAGCAGTTTAATGATAGAAAGTGCATTTAATGAGTCTTCTTTTTATGTGAATATAAAATGAGGAGCTTCCCATCCTGACGTGCTGATTGGAGAAAAAACCTTGTCTTATATTTGAGTAAATGTGGTATATTTCTATTAAGAATGGGACTGAATTTGTCCATCCACTGCATGTATGCTACTGAGCAGTCACAACACAGCACAACTTTATCACAGAGTCTGTGGACTGTATTGCTATGAAACTTGGCTATGCTGCTAAAAGGGCATAACATCTAAATACAATGTAGAGAAACAGTGCTTCACAGCAGCTATCCCCACAAGTTTCCCAAATCTCATCTGTTAACTAGAGCACATGTACCTTTATGGTACAGTCCCTTAGCTTAACACATCTTTTGTTTCAGGAACATCTCTAACTGGGAAGCTAGCTCTCTGAGTCACATCATTCTAAGACTTTACTAAGGGGAGTTAGTTTCAGGGGGGGCAAGATTTCTATGTAACTGTTCATTCTATTTGATTACTGGGTCTTTTCTAGAAGTATAAGGATTTTTCTTGTGGTTAGCAGATGTGTCTAATGCAGGGGTGGGAAAAATGCGGCCCAGGGGCTGGATGTGGCCTGCCAGGCCATTCTATCCGGCCTACAGGGCCCCTAAAAAATTTAGAAAATTAATATTTATCTACCCCTGGCTGCCTATCATGCAGTCCTCGATGGCATGTTAAAACTCAGTAAGTGGCCTTCTGCCCAAAATAAGTGCCTGCCCCTGATCTAATGGAATATGTAGCTAATGCAGCTAACCTATATAAGAGAAATACCATTTAGTACTATCAATTTATTTTCTTTACAAACACCAAAGGTATTTTCACCTCAAAGATAACAGAAAACTGTCTCTCTAATCCTGAATTACTTGCAGATATTAGGATCTTCTAGACATCCAAGTATTGTGGTACCTAGGCATCTCATCAAACCTTTTACAGATTTGTTTTCACCACTTAGAGCAAGTTTCTGCTTTGTAAAATGTAAAATATTCTTCGGTGATTAAATAAGACTTCTTATTTTTCAAAACTGGACTTGCCTTGGCCAAGTGTGAAAAAGGAAGTTATTTTTCATGGTATAAAACAAAAATATCCTGTAGTTTATAGCTACCTGTCAAATTATATGTGAAAAAAAATTCTTAAAATAATTTTCTTCAAATTAGTTTTCCTTCATTGCTCTCACACATAAGTTAGCTATTGCAAGTGTTATTGCCATTATTTGCTTTTAAAATAATGCACTCACTAGGTGAAATTATCAAGGAAAGATTATATGGATAACCACACTATAAAGGAAGAAAAAGGATACATTGCTTTACCCTTTTAAACTCTGCTTCCTTGTCCACTTCCAGGGAGTTTCACCAAGAGAAATACTGCATTCACAAATGCCAGACATCCCTCATGCAGACAGGCAGACAAAGGAAGCAGGTGACTATGTTCAGAACACAATGGAATGTGCAATATTTTGCCTGATATGTAATCTAGCATCAGTTTAAAATATAAACCACCTACACAACTTTTAGCATGTTTTATTTTAATCAGAACTATTAATTTTAAATTACTTTTTCTAATCCACTCCCCCCCTCCCTAATTGGACTTCTTCTCATGAAGATGTAATTTATTTTATTTAATTTTTAACAATACTACTTAAAGAATCATGTCCTGGGCTACACAGACACCTGCTTATTTATTCCTTAAATGTTAAAATATGATACAGAGCAATATTACTGCTTTGTTTTCATTTTGAACTTTGCATAAATTCTATTTTATAATATGCCATAAACACTTAAGGTATTTTAGATTTTAAAATAGTAGAATACTTATGTATACAAATACAATGAGCACTGAGCAAGGCTAAATATATTTTAATGGCCTCAAATTAGGTCTTGCTAAATGTATTCAACATGTGTCATACTTGAATAAAATATTAAAATGGATACAGATCCTAAAAGTATAAACCAAGTCCTCTTTCAGAGAGATAGATAGCTAGATTATATCCCAAAATAAACTTTAGAGATGCTTAGTCTAATTGAATTAATTAATTCCAGTCAAGGAAATTTAAATATATATTTAAGAGCTGCAATACTCTCTCCTTGTGACCTAAGAATCTCTCTTCCTTTCCAAATGGACTCCAAACTTTGCTATATTATTACTGGGATTTATAAGCATGTACTACAGAAAAACTCTAAACTCACAAAACATCAATATCCAGTCTGAGAAAAAATAATTGTAAATGTATAGGGTTGTACGGAAAATTTACCAAAACCCCTCAAAGCAGCAAATAAGCGTCATGATGATTTGAATCTATTTTTTAGTCCTAAATCTAGGTTTGTCATTTTATTCGGACATTAAAGTATTTTCAGGATAAATTAAACTGTTAGGAACTTTACATGTAAATAATAAACATCGTGTCCGCAATATACCAGTGTATGGAGGCTGGCTTAAACTAAAAAATGAGAATATCAGTTCTCAGGCATCCTTTTGTACTCTACAACAGACACTAAATTATCTGGGCTGTCTTGCAAAAATTGGCCAAATTGGCTTCACAACATATAGATATGCAAAAGGTCTGCCTGCTTAATTCACACTAGTAATCCAACCAGCTTCAGTGTGACAACTTCTAGGAGTATAGGAGGTAGAATCTGGCTCTCGCAGCTGTGCATACATATAAAAGAACTGCCCATGTTATCCAGCTGAAGAAACACTACAAGTAGATGACCCCCTCTGTCCTTGATCATTTTTGGATCATTTATTTTTCTTCACAAAAGTGAGGGGAAAATCAAAAAGTCTTTCTGGATCAAAACCACTTATAATAAAATAAAATATTTAGGCTTTCTTGTATTTTGCTAGTTTTCTTCGTGAACTCAGTGAAAATAAAACAAAATTTCAAAATGATTAGGCAGTACTCAACATATGTGTCATCAAAAAAAAAAATTTTTAGCTGAAACATTTCTCCCAGCTCTAGCTATAACCCAGGCAGATTCATTAATAACTGGAGTGTCACCAGCACTTCAAGACCCAAACAGTTAGCTAGGTTAAGTCTAAGTCACCACCTAATTTTTACTACAGATTTTTTGTGCAAGGACAGGATTCAGGTTAAGGACAAAACGTGATTTATAAATCGAGCTAACAGTGCAATAAAGACAAGCCCTGTGAGAAGAATTTGTTAGTTACTACTACAGGACCAGCAAAGGGAATTAAGTATTTGGGACTCTGGTAATGTCAGTGGCATTATTTTTATTTATTATTGTTCTGGTAGTACCTAGGGACCTACCAAGAGCAAGGCCTCACTGTGCTAGGAAATATGCAAACACCGAGCACTAGAGTCCTTGTGCAAAGCGTGCATAGTCCTAATAGAAAAAAAAGGTAAGGGGAAAAAGCTACACCAAAAAGTAGATTGGTTGGCGTGAGGGTAGAAACATTACATTAGTTCCATGATTTGGGGAGGGATGAGGGGTGGATTAGAAAGGAATTAGCTACATGGAAAGACAATAGAAGAGAAAACGTAGGGAGCTTAAGGAGAAGCAAGGGAAGGGTTGGAAGATGAGAAGTGTAGTGCTAGTGCAGAGCTGGAGAAAACATCCAATCAGCACAGAACACAGGGAAATCTAGTCAAGGCTACACAAAATATTAGGTTCCATTGGTCTCTACTTAAACTACTTTTCCAGCTGCTCTCCTGGCTTCAGTCTCTGAGTTGTAAAACTCATTGACCACAAGAGGAGATAGACTGCATATATTACATATATTGCATTTGGGGTAAGAATCAGGAACATATGACTTTAAAAAATATGTTTATGACATTTGCATTAATCTTGTCATTAATGAAAATAAACTAAAAATCTATGATAAGCTTCATGGCTTGAGAGAGACATTTTAATATATGTTCTGACCAAGCCTTATCCTATCAAAGCTAACAATCATTTATGTAATTAAATACAATCAAATGTAGACAAATAACCTTGAGGGACATGATACTGCTCCCAAAAAAATTAAATGCTATTTTACTCAGTGACCAAAACTTAAGCACTTCACATGTAATAAATAAATAAATAAATAAAAGGTCAGAATAACATCTCAATCCTAGATCAGTTGTGACTGGAAGCAACTATGTGAAGTGATGGTTATTTGGTACTCCTAACATAAATCTTTGTGTCACACCACTTTGTAACTGGCACACTTGCTGACAGTTTCAACAAGGAAGTAACAGAGGAACTAGACATAAAAAATAAACTATAGGTTTCCCTTGCTTTATACTGTACATGCATTCCTGGAAAGTGGTGCATAACTCAAATTTACGTACAGGGAACCCACTTTAGAATGTAACTAACAGGGATACATTCCAAGACGTAGACCCCAGACCCATTTCTACCAATGTAGGTACGCAGCAACAGCAGACAGTACACACAAGCACAGGGCACTATCATAATGGGGATGGCAACTACAGAAATGTGTGTCGCAGACCATGAGCAAGGAGCACAGATCCACACAGTAAACTATATTTTGGTGCGCGTCACTCCCACAATGCACTGCACAAAGGAGCTGACTGCAGGCTTCCACCACACCGATCACATAACAGTGAATTCACCTTGCATATAATAAATTTTTAGTATAAAAAGGGTCATCATGTAAGAGTGAATTCACACATACAGAACTTGCATAAAGCAAGGGAAACGTGTGCTTGACTCCTCTAGAGGTGGTGGTCACTGCAGAAGCAGGTGGCTACTCATTAGCAGAAACAGCTTTGCTGTCATCCACAATGTATCATTTCTATACAGAAGAAGAGACAAGAATCAGTTTTCATTGCTGTCACTGTCACTTTCACAAGCATTGAATTCATGCGTATTTTAACTGGAAGAAGATTATGCCCAAAACACAGGCTTCTGGAGACAGACTAAAGAGGGGACAGTGAAGTAATCTAACACAACTCCTATCTTAAATTTTAAAAAGTATATTATTTCTGATAAAGGTAATCAATAATATTCAGGGTTAGAACAAAAACTCTACACTAATTTTAAAAAATAACATACAAGACAATATAGATTATTTTGTTCTCAGACAAAGTTACAACCACTCAATTTATGGATAGAGAAATTAAAGACTCTCTTGCTATTTCATGTAGTGACCAAAAATTAAGTACTTTATATATAAAAAGCTAATCAATAAATAAATAAATACAATTCAGTATAATGCATCAATCCCAGTTCAATGCGACTGGAAGGTGGTAGGTATTTGGTAGTCCTATTGTAATGCCTTGTGTCGCATCACTTTGCAACTTGTCGACAGTTTTAACAAGGAAGTCACAGAGTAAATAGACATGTAGAATAAACCACATGGCTCTTCTGGAGGTGGTCTCTGCAGAAGTGGGTGGATACTCATTAGATGAACAGGAGACTTCAGTCACAGAACCTAAACTAGTTACACGAATTTACACTCCTGTCTATGTCAATACGGTAATTCATTTACCATTACCATACACATCACCCTTTAATTTGAGCCTTCTGTTCATTACAACAGAAAAGACTACAAAACAATACATTTGGGGAACTATTTTTCTCAAGAGGCAGAAGACTTGGGTTGTGTGTAGATGAAACGAGGGGGGTGTGCACAACACTTTAAAGCAGGCTAAATGCTTTTGCGCTGCTCTAATGGTTTTGGTGTTTGCATGCCTTGGTGGCCTATTGTACATTAATTCCAGCTGCTGCAGGAAATTTGGCGGCATAATGCACCTTAAATGACTTGGGGCGCAGCAAACTAAAACTCCTCCAAGTATTTACATTAATCTTGTCATTAATGACAATAAACTAAAAATCTATACGTTTCATGGCTAGTGACAGACATTTTAATATAATTTTAACTCCTCCAAGGAGTTTTAGTTTGCTACCCCTACAGCTGCAGAGCGAAGCAGTGGGCTCTGTGCAGCTCTGCAGCTCTGCAGGAAGCCTTGCAGGCAGCCTAGCAGCAGCCTGGCAACAGCCCGGGAAGGCAGGCTCTGCCCAAGAAAAGTGGCCTGATCTCCGCCACCCCCCCACCGAGCCTGCCTGAGCTGTGCAGGGGTCCGGTGCTTCCCTCGCCCTCTCCTCCCTGCCACCAGAGAGGCAGGTAAGTCAGGTGTGCGCACGACACAGGGGTTTAATTGGCCCTAAATTGAAGCGGTGTTTTTAAAAACCAACCATTTCAATTTAGGGCCCCCGTTTCGTCTACACATGCCCTTGATGTCAGAAAAGGCTGTGTGTGTTTGATCAGAACTCTAACCCTCTCTCCATTGATACTACCCGCTCCTGTAATGAACATGCAGAATTAAATAAAAAGCACAGCCTGTTTAAACAAAAATCAACTTTGCCTTTCCTTATCCTTATGGCTTTGCATCTCAAGCTAACATCATTTCAAATATGCTAAAAATCCCAGTGTAATGGAAGATTCTGAAACAGGCATTAGATTTGCTCTAGTCCACCAAACACATCTGTAAATTTCAAAAGTGGCTATTTTTTGTGTGTGAACACAGGGAGGGAATTTGTTAGCCGTAATTCAACTTTTAATTAGACCAAAGAAGAGTGGTAGGAGTGTGTTTAATATATATTTACCAGTAGGTAGAAATTTTAAAGCTGTTCATGTAATCAAGATTTCCTGTACCCTGAGATAATAAAATAAGTCACAAAAGCAAAACTCCCTGGGTAAATTACAGTTCGAATGATATGTATTGGTTAATTAACGTATTTATAATCTTTTCTATACTCACTAATGTAACATTTTCAAGAAAAGCCTTATGTCAAATAAAATCTCAGATAATAGCATCCATGTAATGCACTGAGGCAATTTACAGTATGTCTGGCATCATGAAACAGCTTATTATGCATGGGTCCTACTGCAAACTAGAACTCCATTGCGGATTAAAAGCGTTTAATGGCTCCTTACTTTTTGGAAAAGACAGACCCTTCTTCTTCCAAGGCTGATTTTAGATACATGCATAACATACACAAATCTGTATTAAAAATATAGCCTGATATCCTTTGGAGAAAAAAAATAACTTGTTAGTTTATGTCAGTAGTCACTTCCAAAGTTTAACCATCCTGGCTAGCTTGTTCTTTTATCAAGGTCAACAAAACAGTTTTAGACCATATTCTAAGTAAATTCCCAGTTAATTTTAACACGGACGTCCAGAAAGGCTCTTCATAGCCTAAGCGTTAGCAGACAGTTTGCATGTGCCAGTCGGAAGAAATGGAAGGTCTACAGAGAATCCTCCAACTCCTGCTTTTCTTGGCAAACCCTGATGGACTGCTTCAAATCCTAGAAGGCACCATGGAGAGTTGGGGGGTTTTTTTCCTAGTTTAGCAGCCAGATGCTCGCTATGCAGACTGCTCTGTGTGAGATACCTTCGACCCAGGAAAATACAAGGCTGGATAAAAAGTGCAGCATGTTCACAGTGCTATCCTTCATTGACACAAGCTAAAGCAGTTAAAAGAGACTCCAAATCAATGTCCACATCTACAGATCGATAGCTACAGATATATATCTATAGATCTAGATCTATAGCTAGCTATAGATATATCTATCTATCCATAGCTACCTATATAGATATATGTAGATAGATAAGCTATATCTAGATCTACTGATAGATAGCTATAGAAATATCTATGTAGATCCAGTTAAATACAGATATACAGCTATAGAAATAGACCTAGCTGTAGCTAGATGGGTATATCTAGACAGACAGCGCTCCATACCCCTGTGCCCCACAGAAGACAGGGACCCAGGCAGCCCCGCACCCAGCAGTTGATGCTCCATGCCGCTTTCTAGCCGGCCCCCAAACTTTGCAAGGTCCTTCATCGTCCGCCCCCGCAAAGGAAACTTTTCCCAGCCCGCCCCAGCCCTTCCCCTGCAGAGGGCAGCCAGGGGTCAGGACCCCGGCGCGCCGCAAGGGCTGCTCTGGCGGCGCCTCCGCCCACCGCGCCCGCAACTCTGCAAACAAAGTAAGTTGCGGCCGGGCCGCGGGCCCCGGCCCCGC